CACCATTTTCAGAAATATGACGAGGAAGCAGAATCAAGAAACATAGATTATACTTTCAGGAAGTTTGGGGGTATTTCTCATTACAAATTTCATCTGCAATAATAGACATCTACTATTTACATAGAGATTCTTCAAGGCCAACCATAATATGAGCAAACAGTTCCAGGGAACAATAGTAACTTAAAAACATAACTCCCTAGAGCTTCTCATGTTTCCTTCCTAAATCAAGTATTTGATTCCAATAGCATTAGAATCTGGGAAGATTTAAAAATACTACTCAGAAATAAAGTTCTTTAATTTAGACTGCTTACAAAATGGGACATTTCAATTTTCCCCTCTGGTTTAATCAGACTAACAATCTAAGTTTAATGGAACTTGTATAAGTCAGCATTGGGCACAATCTGCCTTTCTAACATCTGAATCACACTCATGATCAAATGTAGCATTTTTTGTTTGTCCAAATAGCAAACATTAACAAAGTCCCTGGTAGAATTGAATAAATAGAACAAAGAGAGATACTATTGGAGAGAAATTAATTATTGCTCAAGATGTAAAAATCTGATATAAAATGATCTGTAACAGTTGCCTATATCTGTTAAAGTTCATGGTTAGAAATAGTTCTTCCTGCACAATGTCCCTGGATTTACTGCAAAATCATGTTCATGAAGTAGAATGAAGGCAGTTAGAATCTTCTTGGAGGTGCTTTCATTTTATCAATACAACTCAATACATGAATTATGTTTTACTAAAGTCTCTCACCATCATTTCACTTCATCCTCAAAAACATCTCAAAACATATTCACCGTTATTTTAAGGACCAGTGAAGTTCATATAGATTATCATCTAGAATATGGCAGAAGCAAAACAAGAGCCTTGGGCTTCTACTGAATACTTCTAGATTCTTTGTTCATCTCTCTATAGTTTCTCTACATTCCGATATAGATTGTTTTGGTTTATCAAAAGAAAAAAAGGTCTCCTTCTTGTGCACTAGCAGGACATTTGGCCTGTACACATCTGGTCACTTTGTAGAGTCACCAAAAAATAAATATCAAATAATAAATAAGGCCAGCATATACCCAAACAAGTGGCTCAGAGAATAAGTGATCCAGAATGTCAGAAGAGGGAGAAAGAGAAAATTACAATGCTGACTTTTATTCTCCTTAAATATTTGTTTAGGAGAGTAACTTTTTCCAAGTTTACAGTTTTTTTTAAATTTTTTATTAAACTTGAGTCAGTGAGTATACCTAAGTCTTTATAGGTTCTTAAATGATATGTAAATGTAAGTTTTCTAAGCTCCAGTGATGGATGAAGGATGAACCGTGCTTGTCCACACACTTTACAGCACTGTTAAATGAATTAGACTAGAGAAATAATATATTGGGCAATTAGAGTTAAGGGGAAGAGTGGTGTCTTGACTTTATTAGCAGTGTGGTTTTTTTTTTAAAGATTTATTTATGCATACAAGAACTGGGGTACAGGCCAGAAGTGTGGGGGGTGAGAGGATTCACCAGAGACAGAGTGGGGAACAGAACAGGCAGATTGACTGAAGTACACTGCTGAGGGGAGCAGTGGGTGAGTCAGGAGAGGTCTGCTGTGCCATGTGTGTAGCTCCCTGGCTGGGATCGAACTCGTGCTTCAGTGGCTGCGGACAGCTTCATAGTTTGCGTCTTAACCCCTTGTGCCACCAGGGAGGCCCCAGTAGTGATTTTTTTAATTGAATTTTGCGGTGGGGATTTTATTAATATTATCAACAGAATCAATAGCAGTTTCCTATTGAGCAGATAGAGCATAGAGGTGAACTGGCTAAGCTGCTTGAGAGAATACTTTCAGAAATGTGTTCTAATTGTCAAAACAAAAGATACACACATGTGCAATGACAGCTCTAACGGTTTGGGCGGTCTTTTGTTAAAGTATTAAACTACATAAAAACACACTGCTTAGATATGTGTATGCACATGTAAACATATTAACTAAGATTTTGTACTCGTGGAGCTCCGCTAAGTTGGTGAAATTCTACACCTGAAAACTCTGATGGTACTTTTCTCACAATAAAAGGTGTTCTAGGGGGACACCTTTCTCTCACTTTCTTATTTTCATTCCCCCAGACAGAGATACAGATACAGATCATACACACCTATCATTACATAACTCTGCCTAAGCAACACTTTATGATGCGCAGCAGTGCAAGCTACTGTTGTAGGTACTATTGGGGAAAAGATATGATAACTAACCCTCTACATTTTTTATGGCTTTGAAAGTGGATTTGAATTTTAACTCTGGCACCAAGCAATTCTATTATCTCAGAGTTTCCTTATTTTCTCTGTACTTAGTTTAAGTCTATGAAGTAGGAGTAATAATACTATCTATCTTTATGGGGTTGAGAGAATTATTGGGTAACATATGTAAAGCACAGAGTAACTTATTACTGTTATATTATTTTGAAGATCTTAGACTCTAGAAGAGAATATATATGAATATATATTTAAATATAGCTAAGTGTAAAGGGAACAATCAGCAACACAACATAAGTAAAATCAAAATGCTCTGCTAAACTGGTGGCTTTTTTTTTTTAATGTCCTAAATTTAGCCTTGAAACAAATGATAAAACCAAGCAGCGTTGATCATTTTTCCAGGTTCTATAAATACTATCCTCTTTTGCCGCTAAATGAATAATGATGTTTTTAAAACATTTGTTCGATGTAACACAGAATTATATATGGGAGAATGGTCTTGCTTTTAAATTCAGAAAGTTGGCCAGCTCAGCAGAGGGAATTCCAAAATAGGATGAGAAAATAGAATGAATGGTCTCTAAAAGTTCCCTTATATTTCTGAAACTCTATGATTCCATGGTCAAGATACTTGATAAAATTTCCAGAGACATAAAAATAAGACAATAGAGGAAAAAAAAATTTCAAATGATAGTTCCCTGCTTCTTTTTTTCCCCCAATTGTATTTTGAAAAACTGGCCTTGGAACAGAATTAACATTCACCTCATGAAGAAAGAGCAGTTATTTTGAATGAGTAGGGTCACTGAGGGAAGAACTCTATTAAACCAAATCCTTGGGGAAGTGAATTATTTATTGATTCAGTTTGTGGTCTAAAGTCAAAGAGTGTGTTGAGGGAGAATGGAAACCTTTTGTCATAGAGTTTTATAAGGAAAGTAAAGGGGAAAAGGATAGAAAATACATAAGCAGGACTAAATATTGTGTATTAATTGTGGTGCAGGAGGGATGATGAGAAGAATGCAAATAAGGAAAAAAACTCGATTGAAACTTACTAAAAATAATGTTTAAACTTATTGGTTAATGGCAACTAAAGCTGTTATTTTTTTCTAAGGCAGCTGATTTGTATAAGAAGCTCCTTTGGCAAGTTCATGCTTTCTCATTAATTCATACATTTGCTCATCAAAAAATATATTGGTTGGGGCCTCCATGGTGCCACAGGCGGTTAAGTCTCAGCACTATGAAGCTGTCTGCAGCCACTGCGGCAGAGTTCGATCCCCAACCAGGGAGGTGACCCACATGGTGAAGAAGACCTCTCCTGTCTTGTCTGCTGCTCCCCTCAGCAGTGTAATTTCACTAGATCTGCCTGTTGTGTTCCCTACTCCATCTCTGGTGAATCCTCTCACCTCCCACCTGCACCTCTGGCCTGCACCTGAGCTTTTGTATTCATAAATAAACAAATCTTTAAAAATATATATACATTGGTTATTTGTTAGTAACAGCTGTGAGTAAACAGATGAGGTCTCAACCCTGATGAAGATTAGTTCTAGCCATGGAAATGGTCAGAGAGAAAGAAAAGAGGGAGAAAGAGGGCCTGGACAACCAAGAGTGAAAATCCATTCTTTGACTGACAAAAACTTGCTGTACAATCTAGTAATCTAAGTTTCCCCATAATACTCTTTAATAACAATCTGCTGATTTCAGTAGTAAAACAATAGTATTTGTTAAAAGTACAAGTTGTCACAAATAAATGTAGATAAAACTCTAGAAGAGAGAAATTTGAGAATATTATTCTTTTGGGAAAAAAAAAGATGGATGCAGTGTAATTTGGTTGGGGTGGAACATTCTTTCTACCTCCCATGATGGATTGTGTGGTGCATCAACAATTTAAATTACTCCCCAAATTGGACCCTGACTTTAGGATTTATAAAGGAAGTATTTTCAAAAGAGGTCACTGACTAAACAATTCCTTTAATCAACAGTGAGAGGATTTACTCAACTGATGGGGCCAAGCTTTCTTCATGAAGTCTTCTATGGTACATCACTTCCTCGGTCCCCATCACTCAAAAGGGTAAGAGGATCAAATGAATTGTTTAATGCAGATTTTTGGTTTATACAGTTCTTTTTCATCTTCTGTAAAGTGATTGCTAGACTTAATCAAGATTCCTCTGCGTACCATTAGCTAATTTTAGTTTCCTCCTTTTTTATTTTACTTTTTTATAGTGAGTTTGGAAAAGCCCAGTTTTAAGTCCTGTGGACTTCATGTTTTTCTGTTCAAGCCTTGAGGGAAGCTAAATTTAAAAGTAGGAAAATAGTAATTAAAAGTGATTAGGACAAGAAGTTTTGGTGCTATGAAATGTGGACTCAATTCTCCCTGTCACAAGTCGAACCAAGAGGCAGTTTTTGGTTTTGATTATGGCTTTACTTGCTATTTTAATAAACATGAACCAGTATTCAAACTTTTAATATCCTGCTGTTTAACTATTTCCAAAGAGCTATCCAGTTCTTTTAAACAGGCTTTGTTTTAAAAATTTAATTTGTTTGGCTCAGTCTCACCTTAGAAAGTTGTAGCCTCCTGGTAAACTCTTTTATAAGTTGATTTCCAGAATCATAAGCAATTTTTCCCCCTCCCAACTAAGTGTTTCCTCATGTGCCAAAATTGTTGGTGCTGACAGCTTTTCTGCCTTGTTTTATCTGGTTCCCACAGTAAGTATGAGAGACAAACACAAGAATGTGTCCAGCGTTGACTGGATGCATCATGACTACAGTGATACTTACAACTCCTCTAGGAAGCGGAGACTGTGGAGGGGATACGGAGGCAGCTGACTGATGTTGTTCATGCTGAGGTCCCTGGAGAGCAAAACAGACAGTATGTGAGGAGCAGTGGATGCCACAGGAAACCCAGCTGTTTAATTCACACATTTTCAAGCAATACAGTCAAACGAACTCATGCCTTTGCTTGACCAATGAACCACTATTTTGCATCTTATAGCTATTCCTCTTCTCCTACCCTACCCCCAACATTATGGGCTCTCTATCAAATTAAAGACCCTCCCAGGAGCTTATATGGAGTTCAAAATGATTTAGACCATTTGTGGGCACAATAGTAATTCTTCATGTTTAAAATTACATGAGTAGGACAGCAAAGGAAAAAGACATGACTCAACCCTAGACATAGCTTGACTTTGTGTCTTGCTTTAAATTTTGTGACAAAGAGAAATGTCTTCACCATGCAACTCTGAAAGTCCTATTTCTCTGGGACTATAAACATCTTATAAAAACAAATGTTTTGATTCAAAGAAACTTAAAAAAACAAAACAAAACAAGACAAAAAGCCTATTCCCTCCTTCTAACATGTTCCTTTTGCAGGTTCTCAGATTGCATTAAATAAGTGAAATGAACCATAAAACAAGGGTGTAACGTGACCCTTCTCTGTAGCACACTTCCTGCTGGGCCTGCACAGTAGTTCCTGGCACAGGAAACAACAAACCACTTTGGGCAGAACTCAATCAATTTTGTTTTAAGCGAAACTCCATGTAATTAGATTTTATTCTGTTTTTACTTTTTTGTTTCTTTACTGTCTTCCACATAATCCCTCAGTATCACTGGTATATGCCATCTGTATTTCAGCAGCCAAAAGACAGCTGGGTAGACAGATTCTAACAAGACCAACTCAGACTTTATATTAATATGATAGTCAGCTGAAGGTTGACTGAAATGACTCGTTGCTCAAGACTCATTACTCAGAACTAATGCCATTATCACCTCAGGTCGGATGTAGAGAAAAGACAATGAGCTTTTTTGATTGATAATTTTAAAAATGGTTTTAATTGACTTACAACCTTGTGTTGATTTTTATCATGCATAAATATCGCAAAATGATTATAACAATCCATTGCTACACAGGCACGAAATTTTGTGTGTTTTGTGATGAGAATGTCTAAGATTTACTTGTAGTAACTTTTAAATGTACAATACGGTATGGTTAACTAATGTCAGCAAGGTGTACATTTCATTCCCAGGATTTACTCATCTTACAGCTGGAAGTTTGTGTCTTTTGACCACCTTCACCCATTAGCTTTTGAAAATCTGGATCACTTTTGCTACCAAGTGACCACACCCATTGCACCTAAACAGCTGATTTCAGTGACCATACATAGCCTGGTACCTTGATCAACTATTAAATTTTAATCAGTGATGTTAAAAATTAAGGGATCTTCTGGTCCAAGCACTATGGAGAGCTGTGTGGAGATTTCTGGACCTACTAAACATAGAGCTTCCATATGATCCAGCAATTCCACTCCTAGGTATTTACCCAAAGGACACAGAAACATCCATTCCAAAGAGCACCTGCACCCTTATGTTTATAGCAGCACTGTTTACAATAGCTAAGCTTTGGAAACAACCCAAATGCCCAAAAATAGATGACTGGATGAAGAAGATGTGGTACATAGACACCATGGAATATTACTCAGCATTCAAAAAAGATAAACACATGCAATTTGCAGCAACATGGATGGCGCTGGAAAGGATCATGCTCAGCGAAATAAGCCAGAAAGAAAAAGAAAAATACCGGATGGTCTCACTCATAGCAGGAATCTAGAAAGCTTAAATAAGGGACCAGGAAAATGAATCACTATAAGAAAGTGAAAATCAAAATCAACAAAAAACTATGAACCAGAGACACTCTATAGGGGGGTGGAGGGCAGGGAGGGGAAGGATTGGGGTCAAAATAAGGGGGTTGAAATTGTATGGGGAATATAAAAATAAAATTTATTAAAAAAAATTAAGGGATCTTTAAAAAGTCACTAGCACCTACAAAGAAGGTAAGATATTTTGTAAAACATTTTAAAGTATGACTAAAAAAAGAGAATGGTACATTTTAATGTCTGTTAGTAAGTAAAGAGATAGCTGAGTAAAATGCTATATTGCCACATTAAAATCAAAGAATGCCAAAAATATATACACTAAAGATATTTGTATCATTCACAGGTTTAAAATTTCTGAGATTACTGAGATAAGAGACCTAAATAATTAATTAGAAATTTATTTTTTTTTTGTGCAGTTCTCTGAAGTAGCAAATTTGGGCATGCATTAAGCTAATGAATGCAGTTTCTGGATCATTCACAATGACTGTTTAATCTCTGCAATACTTGGTATTTCTCCAGGCTAGTCATTTATTTCTGATTGATATTTCACTTATCCCCTAAGAGGACCAAGACAGTTTTGCTTTTGGAGCATATTTATTAGTGACCTAAATCAAACTGGTGTCAATATCAAGGCAAGGGGTGCAGATAACGCTGACTTTCCCGTCCTTGTGCTTCTCTATGTGATGTTATAGAACATTTTTGTCTATGTACAGAAAACTCAAAATATAACAGGGAAATTTACTTATTGAGGAGATTCATAATCACTCCATATTATTTTAATATTCCTTACTCTGTTTTATTTTTTCATATTTAAAGAGCAGGTTTATTAGAAAAGGGATAGGATAGTGAAAGACACCTGCATAGACACCAGTGGGCAGGAAGAGCTGCCCGGAAAGGGACAAGTTTGCTAGGAGAGGCCTGCATGGTTGCTGGCGGGCGGCCTTGTGGGAGAGTGGCCTCCGCTGAGGGAGGTCCGTGAGGAGAAGCCCCAGCATGGGACAGGTCATGGGCATGCAGGAGGCTGCTGCCCTGCAGGAAGAGAGTTAGTGAGAAGAGGCACATGCATAGGCACAGGTGGGCAGAGGGAGTGCTGCCCTTACTCTATTTTAAACACGAGGATGTAGAGCTTATGTTCAAAACCTTCACTGTTAGGGTTCTCACTGGAACATTTTTGAGAGTGGAACAGCAGAGAGCAGGCATTGTTAGAGTCTAGTGTCTGGGGCTGGAATTCTGGCCTCTCCATTCACTAGCTGCATGATCTTGCTTGGGAAAATTAAACTCTGTGCAGACTTCTTTGTATTTAAACAACTATATTAATCTTTTGAAACCCTATGATTAGCTGTTTCCAATCAGAAGGGAGTGATTTAATTTCTTATAAAGCAGAGTACCTGCCTTTTGCAATAGGAATTATTAACTTTTCTGTGTTTCCTGACATTGTGGTTCCTCTTTGAAAATGAGCTGGTATTGCTCAATCAAGTCTGGCCTACCTGTTTTCTAATACAGGTTGTTTTCTTTTAAAGAGCTTCTAGCAATGCACATAAGCCAACTGCAGAAAATTAATAATAGTAATCTGAAGTAAAATGAGGGCATCCCTGGTGGCACAAGGGATTAAGCCTCAGCACTATGAAGCTATCTGCAGTGACTGCAATACGAGTTCAATCCCCACTGGGAGGTGGCCCACATGGCACAGCAGACCTCTCCTGTCTCTCCTGCTGCTCCCCTCAGCAGTGTATTCAGTGGATCTTCAGTGGATCTGCCTGTTCTGCTCCCCACTCTGTCTCTGGTAAATCCTCTCAAATCCTAAACTGTTGAGATCAGTAAAGACAGCCATAGCCTGGGACCTGTCCTTGGACTAGCAATGCTCTTTTTGTTTTCATGTCAAGAAAGAAGAGGTTTTACTCATAGGACTCTACCCAAAGAACACCTGTACCCCTATGTTTATTGCAACACTATTTACAATAGCTAAGCTATGGAAACAACCCAAATGCCTAAAAATAGATGACTGGATCAAGAAGATGTGGTACATATACACAATGGCATACTATTCAGCAATCAAAAAGGTAAACTTACGGCATTTGCAGCAACATGGATGGAGCTAGAAGGGATCATGCTCAGTGAAATAAGTCAGAAGAAAAAAGAAAAATATCAGATGGTTTCACTTATAGGAGGACTATAGGGAAACCAAATAAAGGATCAGGAAAAAAATAATAACAATAAATAAAAAACAAAAAAATTAACTGGCAACTATATATTGGAGACATCCTGCAGGGGAGGGGGAGGGTGGGGGATCAGAACAGGGGAGGGAAGAGCACAGGGGACTGTGGTGACGGTGCATGGGTGACTTGGTGGTGGAAATTTTACGGGGACTATATCTTAGAGGGGAAATCATGCATTGTACAAAAATGAACAATGATGTAAACTATATGTAAATTATTAAGACAGATGAGGCTTAAATTACTGCTCAGCATTGAGGAGGCTCCGACAGAATGGCTACCAAGTTTTAGGGCAAAATTTAGTGGGAAAACTCTGGGTTAGGAGTAGCCTCTCTACTTGCCCTGGGTTTTGTGCTTTTCCTTTTCCCAATAACCTTTGTGTTCTTTCCAGAAATGTCCTCATGCTTATGCAAATGATTTTTAAACTTTTCCATTTCTCTTCTATAGCTTTTGCTCTTTCTGTCTTTTGGAACACATACCACCTAGGCAGCAAATGAAGGGTTTTAAATCATTTTCAAGCCTGTGCATGATTCACTTTTTAAACTAATGTGTTTCTAAATGTTCCTATTTTGTATTATACTTTGCCCACAATTCAGTTTCCTAAAATTAGTGAAGCCATGCAATGAATTTAATGTTTTCATATTTTTAACAAATTTATTTTTTACATTTTTAAATAACACATTTCATTGAGGTAACATTGGTTTGCAGCATCATGTATGATTCAGACTCTTCAGGTGTATGTTATCACACCCATCACCAAGGCACCCATATTCCTCCACCCCAGTCCATTACCCCCCTCACCCCACTGCCACAATTTGTTCTTCACCCCCTGTGAGTAACCTCAGTTTGCCAAGATGCTGGAATTAATTTTAAAGAACTGGTCACTATATAAAAAGACTTCATAAGACATGGAGGATTCATACCTCCTTCATCATACCAAGATGATCACATTCTGCTAACCCATTTTGGTTCATCTTTGACTCAGAAC